AAGGTCCAAAGACAAATAAGACACCGCGCAATATCTAGATTCAAACTAAACTTAGCACATTCAGAAAGGGCTAATATCCTCACAGCACAGCTCGTGAGAGATTCACGCTATCGTTTCCCCTTCTTGCGGCTTGGCCGGGCATTCTTTGCCTTCCGCTTATCAATGACCTTCCGGGCCTTGCGTATCTGCTCAGCTGACTTGATTTCGCTGCGCACTTGTCCCACGGACTTGCCACCATATCGCCCTGTGTTGTGACGCCCTTTCCTGGGCTCTCCCCCGGCAGGCGCATTTACAGCCTCCGCTCTTTTCTGAATACGGACTTTCCGCTCGTAGTTTGTAGCGAACTTATCGAGAGGCTTCGGTACCGTAATCGAGGCGTGTTTGAAGCGCTTTCGATCTAAAGGCTGGTGTTCTGGAACCGCCTCGCCGATGCGAGGAAGGGTCGCGCGTGTCTTGACCCGCCATTCGTCAAATCGTCCACTGCGATAAGACGCCGGGAGCTTGATACCACTCTCAGCCTTGACCATTTTGACGTTGTCGGCACCAGTGCCATCCCCGCGTACGAACTTTTTCTTTTTCTTGTCCCAGGTCGTTTTGGACCTGGCGCGTTTCTGTGCAACCATTGCCTCGTCTCCGGCGAGATCAAAAGTGGCATGCCGTGCCTGCTCGGCGAACGTTTCTCCGTCTCTCATAGAATATCTAAGGTTTCGTGAGCCTATCATTAACGGGGCCCGAGTAAGGCGCACCCTTTGTCTGCGTTTGCCCTAGCCTGATTGTAGGGAATATAAAATTCGGAGTCGTGATATTTCCCCGGCCTTGACGGGAGTGTTCCAAAGACAGCCTATGGGAATTGATTAGGGCGATGCTGACATGAAACATGTGAACACACGTCGATGTCTTCATCATTAGCCATTTCCACATCTTCTGTTTCCCGTGAGTATTCCTCAGTCTCATTCTCAGCAGCGCCTCCGCCACCAACAGATGTCTGAACCATCTCTCTTCGTTTCATAGCCTTCGCAAGCGCCTTCCTACGGTCCTTCATGAGTTCCGCGTTCCCAGCCTTTCCGCGCGAGCCGATCTCGAGCGCGGTCTCAATAGGTCGGAACGAGTCGACAGCTGCAAGCAACGCGCGGCGACGTTCGTCTTCGCCAACAAGACTTTCCTCCGCAGCACGACCCTTCAATCGCAGCACAGGATGCGTGCGAGCAGTCGCACCCGCAGCAACAAGACCCCAGCGTGCAGGCTCTCGCGACATTTCCTTTGCGCGCACATAACTTGCGGGGCTCGCGCGTCCTCGTGATCGCTCGTACAGCCCGTGTCCCTTGCGCATGACGTTCCGCAACGTGGGTAACGCATGGTGCTCGATCTCGAGTGCACGTATGTAAGCGACCTCGTCGTCGAGCGCTTCGCGTGGAAACACCCCGAGTACGAGGCTTTCCGCATACGATGCTTCGTTATCACTTGGAGCATCGCGTGCAAGCGGGCGCCCAAGGAAAAGTTGTAGTTCGATGAGATAAGGGAGGTCAGTTGGGCCCACAAATGACCATGCCCAGCCTGACCGACCCGCGCGGGCTGTGCGCCCCACTCGATGCACAAACACGCGTGCGCCTTGTGGGAAATCGTAGTTGACGACATTCGCCAAGACTGGGATATCAATTCCTCGTGCAGCTACGTCTGTTACAACGAGTATGTTTGTGCGACCGCGTCGGAACTGATCCATTTGTTGTGTACGGGCTGACTGATCGAGTGAACCATAGATGTGCGAGACAGCATAGCCTGCGGCCGTGAGCAGTGTTGTGAGGTACTCAACGTGATGCTTGGTGGCCGCAAACACAAGGGTCTGGTGAGGCGCAGTAAACTGCTCTCGTGCATCGTGTTTGCCTTTTGCACCGCCACCTCCTTGCTCCTGATCATGGGATTCGGTGGAGCCCCATGGGACGCGAATGATGTCACGCAGGAGGACGAGTAAACATGCGTCCTTCTCGTCCTGCTTGACTGAAAAAAACGCCATTCGGAGGTCCGCGCTGATCTTGCTATCTGCGTCGAGGCGTACGAGTTTCGGGTTTTGCAGGCCGGCCTTGGCAAAATCCACAAGTGACTTGGGCAACGTTGCGGAAAACAAAAGTGTTTGACGACTTGTAGGGAAGCGATGGATAATTTCCGTGAGAGCGGTTTCGAAACCCATCTCGAACAGGCGATCGGCCTCGTCGAATACAACATACAGCACGAACGGAGGTCGAGGTTCATTTCCACCACAAGGTGCAGGAGTCGTCCTGGAGTGGCGATGATGCTGAAGCAAAAAACGAGTCAGATCAGTCGCATCAGTGGCGCATCCAGGGAAAAAAATATGACATACATGTCGGGATTGTTCGCCATCATTTCGAACTGCTCATCCATACCCTCTCCTCCGACCACGAGGCCCCAGCGCAAACCTTGACCCCTATTCCGGCTTTCAGAGAGTTCCCGGTCCTTATCGCCGGCGTGTTCGCCTTCGCCTTGTCGCCAACCACGTGCGAGTTCCTTCCCCACCTTCAGGATTTGGAGCGCGAGCTCGCGAGTGGGCAAGAGAATGAGGGCCCGAGCCCCGAAAGTGGAAGAGTGTCGGCCACCCAGACGTTGGATGAGAGGAATGAGAAAAGCAAGGCTTTTGCCGGACCCTGTGCGGGCCATTCCTACCAGGTCACGCGGGGGGTTGGCAAGAAGAACGGGGATGGAAAGTCGCTGGATCGGGGTAGGTGTACGGAAGCCCTGTAGCGTCAGGGAACGTAAAATCCATGGGAAAAGCCCTGAAAAAGGGGGATGAAGTTGTACGATCCAGATAGTGGCTGAGAAGGAGTACCCATGCTCTGAAAGCTCCCACCCCCGAGCTCTCCTTTCGTCAGCTTTTTCTTGCCCTTTGTGTTCTTCAAGAGTTCAGTCCCATCCTTGACATTACGCCTAGATATCGAGTTTCTGATCATATCTTCGAGCTCCGTGTCGTCGTTGGTACTGTCATGATGAGAGACAAGAGGCGCTTTGCGCTTTTGTACTGTGGTCCTTCGCTGTGTCAAGGCAGAGGAGAGATCAAAAGAGTGATCTGAACCTGAGTCCTCATCCTCGTCCGAGATAGAGGGTGAATGGGGGGCACCGATGTCCACTGGGGACGCGCGTCGTTTCCTCGACATCCGCGTGTCTGTCGGTCGTGCACAGCCAGAAAACAAAAAATAAAAAAGTTGCATCGCGTGTGACATTCCGAATCCGGTAAGCACGAAAAATCTAATTACTAAATATCTTGAGCTATTTCGTAAAAAGCATAAGCGCAGGGTCGACGAGCCTGCTGTATTCACAGGCGAACATCGCACTTTGATGATATTGCAAGACCACCACCGAAGCGATATGAAGTGAACTAAAACGGGCAAGCAACTACCACAATTCTTGCGATGCACAATACGATGCACTTATTTTTTTTCTTGGCGCAGCACCAGGCCATAACAGGTTTCGCGAGGGAAGAACGTTCTGGCTTCCGCCGTTGATAAATCCATTTGTCAAGGGGAAATTCGTGCAGATCCGACCATCGATACATTGGGCACTGATTATACAGAAGTACGATACAAACGTAAATGGGTATATCGCAGTCTGTGCTTCCATTAGGGTCGTCTCGAGATGCCCCGGGGTATGCTGGTTGTGCCGCGGGTGGAGGACACAGCCGAGGATGGCCTTGCGATTTTCGAGGGAACCGGGGCAGCCATCGTGCCCGATGCTGCCCTGGTGTGGCCGCCGATAACACTGGACGACACAGACACTACAATAGCAGATGGAGGAGCGGTTTTCCGTGATCTCTCAGTGGGACGAAAAATGCATTCAGCAGTGAAAATTGGCGCACCAGCCCTTGAGGCGCCCCCCCTCGCCGCAGCGCCCGCACGCATCGACGCACGCGTTCCGCGTACACCTCGCACACCACTAGTGGACCGCGCGGCCACCTTATCTCTCCTCTCGCGTTGGAGCCGCTCCGCTTCCTCGCGCATGGCACGTTCGAGCTCCTCCTTCTCCCTCCGCTCCTGCTCGCGCTGCGCCGCTCGTTCACGCTCCTCGTCCTCACGACGCCGCTTCTCTTCCCGCGCGCGTTCCTCCTCCTCGAGCCGCGCCTCGTCCTGATGATACCGAACACACGCTTCAAAATCACACGCGAGGAGAAGAGAAGTGAGTGCGCCATACCGCTTCTGCGCCCATCCATCGCTTGTCGAATATGAGCTGCGTGACCTGCTCGGTCTTGGATAGAATGTTGATGTACTTGTTGAGCAACGCGTCTGTCTGCTCGAGCTGCTCGGCAATACGCTTGGCGTGAAATAACAATAATAAAGAACTCGCATGAGTAGGTTGACGGAGCGGAGCTGCATGAGCAACTCACCTCCGTGCCCGTTTGCGCCTCCCGGAGTGCATCATTGTACACCGCAAATGCACCGTTTAGTTGCCGCAGCACGAAAAGGTCGCTCTGCAAATTCTCCTCGCGCGATTGCACCACAATGCTTGTCCTATCGGCGTCCTCACCACCAATGCGCACAGTCACATCGGCCTCAACAGCCTCAACAGCCTCAATGTCGCCCTCTCCCGTGTCTTCATCAACCTCCCCATCCAGAGCGCCCAACGAGCTCTGATCATCCCCCGATGATCAAGCGACGCGCCAAATCCGAGAGCCTGAGCGATCGACGGTCGAGTTTTCGGGTTGTGTCGGGCCTGGATTCCTCTTCCAGGGATGCGATTGTCGGGGTAAAGCTCGGAGAGAGAGAGGTCGTCTCCCCCTTGGGCAGTATTTGAGCTAGCAGACGCGAAGGAGAATTGGGGAGATTGAGAAAGGAGCCGCGAATCACCTGCAGGGAGGCCCGCAGAGTCGAAGGAGTCCATCACGAGCACGTTATCTGCCACCACGCGTTGCCGCGTCGCGGTCGCTCGCGGTAGTCCGGAATGGGCGCTTAAATGGTCCGAAACCGCGCAGCAATGTGACATCGCGCCAGGTTGGTCATGGTGCTATAGTGTAGCGGTTATCACAGCGGATTCTGATGCGGTCGAGTTCCGTTAACCCAGGTTCGATTCCTGGTAGTACCTTTTATTTTGGAAGATATTCACCGAACTCCTGCTACTACGACGTCCTTTTCCGTTTCGCCTTATGTTCTGACTTGGTCACAGTCGTGTTCTCTTTCCGTTTCCGCTTCGCCTTCTCTTCCTTCCCCGTTTCCTCTCTCTAGTCGCTGGAATCTCCTTCCCTTTCTCCTTCCGCCGCTGCTCGCCCTCATCGTCCACCATTCTGGGCCCGACGGTGGCGAGTGCATCTAGCTCCTCATCATCGGTCGCTTCTGATCCAATCCCTTCTAGAATTGACCGTGGCGATGGCTGTCGCTGAGGGGTGTCTGCTTGGTGGGACACTTTCCCTTGCGGAACGTGCTCTGGCGAAAATGGGTCGGGCTGTATCGAGCCAACCAGGGAGAGCATCTCATTTGCGACCGTTAGCCTGTGCCGGTCGATTATTAAGTGCACGAACCCTCAGCTGCAAAAAGTAGGATGGGTAGTACTCACCCGACTACTGTGAACTCGAGCCACCTGTCCTTTCCGCCGAGACGATCGCCAGTGACTTTGTGCACCCAGCGCCCACGCTGATCAGTAGTTTGTGGGTCGTCTCCTTGCGCGTCCGCATCGCGTCCGCGTCCACCTCGTCTTCCAAATTGCCAAATTCGGGGTCGTTTTCTGCTGGCCCATATTCGAACTCCCACTGATCTGTGGGGATATGGTGCCGCGGAATGGAGACGTTGAATGTACGATGCACGAGTAACGATACATGATCGGGAGAGCAAAGCGTTATTCGCCCGGCTGATTTCATAGTTACTTGTCAGCACAGGAGAGAGTAGGTGTAGAACGCCTCCTCCCCCCCCGACTCCTCAGTGAGAAGTAGCAACTAAGAAGAAGGGAGGGAGGGCGAGAAAGTGCGCGGGACGATGACACGCACAGAGTTTCATTCCGCGCGTAGGACACCAGATGAGGGCCTCGAAACCCACATGACAAATTGCGAATGGGCTATCTGCCCGCAGCTGCGCGACCGGATCGAGGAAGTGCACATCTGAGTGGGCAAGGACGACGCCATTCAGCGTGGGCTCGTACCTGCGGCGTACATACAATGAGGAAATAAACCTGAGGAAAAGGGAAGGAAGGGAGAGGCAGGCAGGCAGGCAGGGGATGTTGATATTTGCGGGAAGCGCACGCGCACGCACCTCATGATCATGGTGTCGAGCATCTCCTCCACCCCGGAGCGCAATCGGTTTGCAAAGACAGGAGGTACGGCGAGGACGACAGACGCGTTGACTGAGCGAAACTCCTCGCCTGCCTTTTCTTTGCGTACCCTCTTCGGCGAGTCATCTACGTCCATGGGCACCGGCGAGCTTTTGCGTTTCATACTGTATCTTTGGAGGACGTCGGCGTCGGGATGGGCTGCTTCCGCAAACCGGTCGGTCTCAGTGTCGGGTGTCCGGGTCGGGGGTTGGCCCGGCGCTTGCGACGCCGCGTCCGTCGCATGTGCCACCGCCCCTACCAGATTTGCTACCAGATTTGACTGCAGCGGCACTGCCGCAACCAACCACACGCGCTCCGCCCAGTCCGAATCATGCCCCCCTAGCCTTCTTCTAGGCCCTTTGCTTGGCCCTTTGTGTGGTATTGCACTTGACTGTTTCTTTCCTTCTTCCCAGGATGGGCGAGGTGGCTGTTAGAACGCTGCGCAGCTGTTTTTGTGGGTTATTCACGTCTCGACTCGGAAACCATTTATCGGATATACGCTACAAATAGTCCGGATACCATATTTAAATACAATATGTCCATCTATTTCTATTCTAAGTACGCTGGCAGAGCGGAGAAACGATGTTTATGTTTACGAGAGTCTTATCTTATCTTAAGCGTACCGTATATCGAGAGAAAGCGTCAAATGGCGGCGGAATGCATGTCAGAGAATATAACGGCTGAGCTGCAAGATCGGCATCCAATTCCCAGTGGAGACGTGGATGGCTCCAATGACCATGATATCGCCGCGCTGGATGCCGCCTTCCCCGATGCGCCAGCGCTGCATGCGCCGCTGGTCCTGGTACCCAGAGTCCGGTTGACAATTCTGATAAGATAAAAATGAGAAATCTCGGTACACGGGCCTAATGGCGGTGATCGAGAAGAACTTGCCTTGAGAAAGGCATCTACAGATAGCCCTACGTGGTGCGCAAACCTAGAGATACTTATCAGGTTGCGCTGACCCACTTCGTTACGGGTTTGAACCTGGCGTTTGAACTCGACGTAACCAGGCCACTGCAAGGGTCGACACGGTCAATGGACGAAAAACTAGAACAGCACAGAATCGGTCACCAACATGGATGCGGATTTGTGTTGTCGACATTAGACCCAGTGGTGCGAAGGCCTGCGCATTGAGAAGATCGTGAGTGCGACCAGCAACAGCAGCTTCCAGGGGAAGGCCCAGCCTTCCGTCCATGCTTTCGAAAAAAATGGGCAACTGCAAGTCCTCTGCGACGTGCTGTCCTCTTTCGGCGACGACATTTAGCGCGCCGAGGGTCTGAGGTACGACGGTGCCCCTAGCCATGACGCTGCGATCGAGTACCCAGCTAGATTGGTTGGGAAATTGCAACGATATATGTCGAGGAACGGAATGGACAACGAAAAAGGCGCTTTCTTTTCCAGGGAAATGGGACGCGGGATGCGAGGGTATGACATTGGTCTTCAGAAGGGATTGTAAGTATTGTTCAGCATTCCGGGGACTGAAAGACCAGGATATATATCCGTCGATGAGAAGCTATGAGCAAAGGTCAGGGCAACAGTGCGTGTCCAAAAGCCTTGTCCCTTACCGAAAGATCACTCATTGTTCGTTGTAGAATGACTCTTGGAATGAATTTGAGGACGCGATGAATGATCGAAGAGTACGTTTTGTCCAAGTTTAGTCCAGACAGTTATACCATGACTGACTCCAGCTCACCGGGGAAAACATCCGGCCGTTTCATGTGCGTCGTGATGTTCCATCTGGCAGTGGTGGCAGAAACTGCGGAATCCTCTGAAATGAATAACACGCGCGACGCATGCGGGCAACAGATGCCACTCAGGAGCTGAGCAATAGGCCAAGCCCTCTGAAACGTTGGCACAAGTGCAAGGGGAAATGGCTACCAAGGGCACAGCCTCGGGCACGTGAAACCTAAAAGCACGCGATTTCGGGCTTGCAGTACGTGCCATCACTTCCTTCCGGTGTATGAACGTGAGTACGTGAGGCCGCGCACTAGCGGCCATGAAACTGTGTGCGTAAATGGCATGGTGGATGGAATGACCAAGCACGGTCTCGGGCAGGAAACGGAGCGCCAGGCGGATGTAATAGTCACTGTATTGATTCAGTGCCGACGCCACGCCGTTCTTTCTTGGATACGCAAAATCGGTGTCAAGGCACGGCCACAGGTCAACCACTGAGTCCTAGTCCCGGAAATATTGTAGTGCGGCTGACGATTTTCCGTTGCTATTTCCAAGATATGATTCATCAAAAACGGTAAAATACTACGCAACAGTCATCAGGGCTACCCACCGGATAATGAATGCTGGAGGTCATCCCATAAAGGCGGCAAAGGCGGGATTAATGTGAACCCCATACGGGCTTCATAGCCAGCGCCACTGATCAAATTCGCAGCGCATACATCCAGTTGGTCGGTGAATAAAGGAATTACCGAGCCCAGTAGCTTGCATTCGTGTGCTAGTTGGGGTTGAGTCCCACTAGACAATGCCAGGAGTGCGGAACGAGCCATTCATTCGTTACGCCAACTGATGAGTTTTCATCAACGATGGGCAGAAATAAGGTTGTATGAAGAGAAACGAAACCGGACGGATGGACGCTGTTGGCGCTTCTACAGTACGTGGGTGGAGGGGATCCGTTCTTACTATTGGCATTCAGAAAAACTGAAGTGGAGGCGTCAGGCACCAAATCAATGATCGACGATGCAAGCTTGTCCTGTGTGTGATTAGCGTGCTTCAGTGCGAACCACTAGGGGCTAGGTATGAAACTTTTTTGGTTCGTACAAATCGCGGACAGCCCCCTTGTGCTCAGAACCTTGGGGCGTCCGGGAACGACCTATGCAGAGGCAGAGCTGTAAGCCTCAGGGGTACAGGGTCCGGGTCCGGGATGACACCCACATCCCGAGATCATCCAAAAGACAAGGTCACTCCATCAGCAGGGCTATACATCGCGCGGCACAGCCAATCAACGGAACCGCAACGCCTCGCGCGTTCCAGTGGCTACGCACACCGCAACAAGACCTCAGCGTGCGGGCTCTCGCAAACATCGCCTTGAGCACGCGCATAGCTCGCGGGATTCGCGCGTCCGTGGGACCGCAGACCGGTGCTAACGCGCTGATGCATTGATGGGCCATACAGCACATGTTCCTTTTCGCGCCGCGCCACACGCGCCACGGTCCGCAATGCGGGTAGCACGTGCTGTTCGGGCATCGAGAGCACGTGTGGGCGCAGCCTCGTCGATCAGGCCCTTCGCGGCGCAGAAACGCAGCCTGGCACTGTCCATCGTGTGGTGTTTTGCCGGAGCATGTGAGCGTCCGTCCAAGTGTCCAAGGAGAAAGTCGTCGTTTGCTGGGATATCCAGCTGGATCGCCCCCACGAAGACAGTGCACCCCTCACTCCATGCACAACCACGTGTACTTGCGCGTACTTGCAGGAAAAGTCGCGTTCGCCAACACAGGAAATTCCTCGGGCAGCCACATCGTCACAACGAGTATGAATACATGCCTGCGACCACACCAGAAACGATTGCCAACTACCGAGTCGCCTGCTGCCTGACGAGCGAGGTTCGATGTGTGAGCGTTCTGACCAACAACAGCAAGGCGTGTAGTTAGAAGGTGCGTGGATAGGGCTTGGTGACCGCAAACACGTTTGTCTCTTGCCTGGTTACCTTGTTCTCGGCCTGATTGACCGGTCAGAAAAAAAAAACGCCGTTCTGAGGTGCGCGCTGATTTTGCCCTTTTGCGTCGAAGCGTAGAGATTCGGGCTTTGCAAGCCGGCTGTGGCAAGAGAAACCCGCG